ACACACACACAGCATACACGATACACACAACACATGCTGTACATACACACACAGCATACACGATACACACAACACATGCTGTACACACACAACACACACAGCATACACGATACACACAACACATGCTGTACACACACAACACACACAGCATACACGATACATACAACACATGCTGTACATACACAATACACACACAGCATACACGATACACACAACACATGCTGTACATACACACACAGCATACACGATACACACAACACATGCTGTACACACACACACAGCATACACGATACACACAACACATGCTGTACATACACACACAGCATACACGATACACACAACACATGCTGTACACACACACACACACATCATACACGATACACACAACACATGCTGTACATACACACAGCATACACGATACACACAACACATGCTGTACACACACAACACACACACAGCATACACGATACACACAACACATGCTGTACACACACACAGCATACACGATACACACATCACATGCTGTACACACACACACACAGCATACACGATACACACAACACATGCTGTACACACACACAGCATACACGATACACACAACACATGCTGTACACACACAACACACAGCATACACGATACACACAACACATGCTGTACACACACAACACACAGCATACACGATACACACAACACATGCTGTACACACACACAGCATACACGATACACACATCACATGCTGTACACACACACACAGCATACACGATACACACAACACATGCTGTACACACACACACAGCATACACGATACACACAACACATGCTGTACACACACAACACACAGCATACACGATACACACAACACATGCTGTACACACACAACACACAGCATACACGATACACACAACACATGCTGTACACACACAACACACAGCATACACGATACACACAACACATGCTGTACACACACACACACACACAGCATACACGATACACACATCACATGCTGTACACACACACACACAGCATATACGATACACACAACACATGCTGTACACACACACACAGCATACACGATACACACAACACATGCTGTACACACACACACACACAGCATACACGATACACACAACACATGCTGTACATACACACACAGCATACACGATACACACACAACACATGCTCTACACACACACAGCATACACGATACACACAACACATGCTGTACACACACACACACAGCATACACGATACACACAACACATGCTGTACACACACACACACAGCATACACGATACACACAACACATGCTGTACACACACACACACAGCATACACGATACACACAACACATGCTGTACACACACAGCATACACGATACACACACTAACACATGCTCTACACACACAGCATACACGATACACACACACACATCATACACGATACATACACTAACATATGCTCTACACACAACAACAACAGATACACACACACATCACATGCTGTACACACATGTACAAGTTGTACACACAGACACACTTAACACACAGACACACTTAACACACAGACACACTTAACACACAGACACACTTAACACACAGCACATACAATACTGTACACGTGCAAATGACCACACAGGACAGTGCGTGTACAGTGCACACTAACAACACGCATTGTGACTCCGTGTGGGTTTAACTGCGCGTCTGTGTTGTGTTTCCATCTCCGTGGCCATGTGTGTGTTTAGTGTTTAGCCGTGCGTGGTTGTGTCTGTGTGTGTTGGTGGTGTTCTGTGTGTGTGTGGTGGTGTTCTGTGTGTGGTGGTGTTCTGTGTGTGGTGGTGGTGTTCTGTGTGTGTGGTGGTGTTCTGTGTGTGGTGGTGTTCTGTGTGTGTGGTGGTGTTCTGTGTGTGTGGTGGTGTTCTGTGTGTGTGGTGGTGTTCTGTGTGTTGGTGGTGTTCTGTGTGTGTGGTGGTGTTCTGTGTGTGTGGTGGTGGTGTTCTGTGTGTGTGGTGGTGTTCTGTGTGTGCGGTGGTGTTCTGTGTGTGTGGTGGTGTTCTGTGTGTGTGTGGTGGTGTTCTGTGTGTGCGGTGGTGTTTTGTGTGTGTTGGTGGTGTTCTGTGTGTGTGGTGGTGTTCTGTGTGTGTGGTGGTGTTCTGTGTGTGTGTGGTGGTGTTCTGTGTGTGTGGTGGTGTTCTGTGTGTGTGGTGGTGTTCTGTGTATGGTGGTGTTCTGTGTGTGTGTGGTGGTGTTCTGTGTGTGGTGGTGTTCTGTGTGTGTGGTGGTGTTCTGTGTGTGTGGTGGTGTTCTGTGTGTGGTGGTGGTGTTCTGTGTGTGTGGTGGTGTTCTGTGTGTGGTGGTGTTCTGTGTGTGTGGTGGTGTTCTGTGTGTGTGGTGGTGTTCTGTGTGTGTGTGGTGGTGTTCTGTGTGTGGTGGTGTTCTGTGTGTGTTTAGTGTTTAGCCGTGCGTGGTTGTGTCTGTGTGTCCTTGATGCCTCTTCCCTGTGTGTGTGTGGTGGTGTTCTGTGTGTGTGTGGTGGTGTTCTGTGTGTGTGGTGGTGTTCTGTGTGTGTTGGTGGTGTTCTGTGTGTGTGGTGGTGTTCTGTGTGTGTTGGTGGTGTTCTGTGTGTGTGGTGGTGTTCTGTGTGTGTGGTGGTGTTCTGTGTGTGTGGTGGTGTTCTGTGTGTGTGGTGGTGTTCTGTGTGTGTGCGGTGGTGTTCTGTGTGTGCGGTGGTGTTCTGTGTGTGTGTGGTGGTGTTCTGTGTGTGCGGTGGTGTTCTGTGTGTGCGGTGGTGTTCTGTGTGTGCGGTGGTGTTCTGTGTGTGTGGTGGTGTTCTGTGTGTGTGGTGGTGTTCTGTGTGTGTGGTGGTGTTCTGTGTGTGTGGTGGTGTTCTGTGTGTGTGTGGTGGTGTTCTGTGTGTGCGGTGGTGTTCTGTGTGTGTTGGTGGTGTTCTGTGTGTGTGGTGGTGTTCTGTGTGTGTGGTGGTGTTCTGTGTGTGTGTGGTGGTGTTCTGTGTGTGTGGTGGTGTTCTGTGTGTGTGGTGGTGTTCTGTGTGTGTGGTGGTGTTCTGTGTGTGTGGTGGTGTTCTGTGTGTGTGGTGGTGTTCTGTGTGTGTGGTGGTGTTCTGTGTGGTGTGTGGTGGTGTTCTGTGTGTGCGGTGGTGTTCTGTGTGTGTGGTGGTGGTGTTCTGTGTGTGTGGTGGTGTTCTGTGTGTGTGGTGTTCTGTGTGTGGTGGTGTTCTGTGTATGGTGGTGTTCTGTGTGTGGTGGTGTTCTGTGTGTGGTGGTGTTCTGTGTGTGGTGGTGTTCTGTGTGTTGGTGGTGTTCTGTGTGTGGTGGTGTTCTGTGTGTGGTGGTGTTCTGTGTGTGGTGGTGTTCTGTGTGTGGTGGTGTTCTGTGTATGGTGGTGTTCTGTGTGTGGTGGTGTTCTGTGTGTGGTGGTGTTCTGTGTGTGGTGGTGTTCTGTGTGTTGGTGGTGTTCTGTGTGTGGTGGTGTTCTGTGTGTGGTGGTGTTCTGTGTGTGGTGGTGTTCTGTGTGTTGGTGGTGTTCTGTGTGTGGTGGTGTTCTGTGTATGGTGGTGTTCTGTGTGTGGTGGTGTTCTGTGTGTGGTGGTGTTCTGTGTGTTGGTGGTGTTCTGTGTGTGGTGGTGTTCTGTGTGTGGTGGTGTTCTGTGTGTGGTGGTGTTCTGTGTGTTGGTGGTGTTCTGTGTGTGGTGGTGTTCTGTGTGTGGTGGTGTTCTGTGTGTGGTGGTGTTCTGTGTGTTGGTGGTGTTCTGTGTGTGGTGGTGTTTTGTGTGTGGTGGTGTTCTGTGTGTTGGTGGTGTTCTGTGTGTGGTGGTGTTCTGTGTGTGGCGGTGTTCTGTGTGTGTGGTGGTGTTCTGTGTGTTCGGTGGTGTTCTGTGTGTGGTGGTGTTCTGTGTGTGTGGTTGTGTTCTGTGTGTGTGGTGTTGTTCTGTGTGTTGGTGGTGTTCTGTGTGTGGTGGTGTTCTGTGTGTGTGGTGGTGTTCTGTGTGTTCGGTGGTGTTCTGTGTGTGGTGGTGATGTTCTGTGTGTGTGTGGTGGTGTTCTGTGTGTGTTGGTGGTGTTCTGTGTGTGTTGGTGGTGTTCTGTGTGTGCGGTGGTGTTCTGTGTGTGTGGTGGTGTTCTGTGTGTGGTGGTGTTCTGTGTGTTGGTGGTGTTCTGTGTGTTGGTGGTGTTCTGTGTGTGGTGGTGTTCTGTGTGTGGTGGTGTTCTGTGTGTTGGTGGTGTTCTGTGTGTGGTGGTGTTCTGTGTGTGGTGGTGTTCTGTGTGTGTGGTGCTCCAGCACGTGTCCACGTGTCCGTCTGTCTCTCTACGTCCCCCGTGTCTCTGTGCGTCTCTGTGCGTCCAACTCATCATCCACACGTCCAACTCATCATCCACACGTCCAACTCATCATCCACACGTCCAACTCATAATCCACACGTCCATCTCATCATCCACACGTCCTACTCATCATCCACACGTCCAACTCATCATCCACACGTCCAACTCATCATCCACACGTCCATCTCATCATCCACACGTCCAACTCATCATCCACACGTCCATCTCATCATCCACACGTCCAACTCATCATCCACACGTCCATCTCATCATCCACACGTCCTACTCATCATCCACACGTCCAACTCATCACCCACACGTCCAACTCATCATCCACACGTCCATCTACTGGTGCAGTGTCCAAGCTGTCTGTGTGCGTCTCTCTGTGTGTTTGTGTGTCTATCTCCCAGCTAACCACCATCACCACCACCACCATCGCCACCACCATCATCACCACCATTATCATCATCACCACCACCATCATCATCACCACCACCACCATCATAACCACAACCACCACCACCGTCACCACCGTCACCACCATCACCGCCATCACCACCATCACCACCGTCACCACCACCACCACCATCGTCACCACCACCGTCACCACCACCACCACCGTCACCACCATCACCACCACCATCACTTCCACCACCGGTCACTACCTTGGCTATCTGTTCGAGCGCGAACTCGGCATCACAGTAGCTCGGGCGTTCCAGAAGATCCCGGTCCCTGATCCTCTGATCCCGGTCCCTGATCCATTGATCCCGGTCCGGATTCCTGATCCTCCGATCCTGATCCCGATCCGGCACTGGTCGAGACCCACCCCGACCTCTCATCCCATCACATCCCGCACCCAGACGCGCCTCCACGGACATGCTTCCCCCACTCGTGGTGACACTCCTGCTGATGATGATGCTGATGGTGCTGCTGTTGCTGCTGATGATGATGATCACGGTGTCCTCCTCCACCTCCCCGTGCTGCTGATGAGATTGTAGATCTCCTAGCTGTCCCCGCCAGCCGCCATGCCACCATCTCGGCCGGTCAATATTCGCTTTGGCTGCAAGTGTTGGCTTCACAACTCCTATAAACCCATTGTATCGCCCCTCCTGGCCCTCCCTCCCTGCTCCATCCTCGAATGCCGAGTCCCTTCTGCTCCTTTGACTTCTCCTTCTGCTCAGATCCCCTCTCTCCACGTGTGCGTGGTGTGCGTGTCGTCTCTCTCCCTTCGCTCCTCCCTGCCTCACACCGTCTGCTCTTGAGCGCTCGGCTGAAGTTATGTGTGGGGGCTTTCTTTTTTTTGCCTGCGAGATTTTTCCCCCCCAACGCAAGTTTCACCAATAATACCCACACACACACACCCCCACCCCACTCACACACCCACCCACCCACCTACCCAACCCTCCATCCCACCCATCCATCCTCCAATCTACACACACGCCCACCGCTCGCTACCACCCACCACACACACTCGCCTCTCTCCCCCCACCCACCCACGGATTCACAAATCCAATCGCACATCCACAAACAACCACACACACTCTTCCACTCACTCGCTCAGTTACTCACAAACACGCCCATGGACATCCATCCCACGTACTCACTCGCTCAATCGCTCACCAAAATCACTCACCCAACCACAAATCCATCCACGCACGACCTCACTCAAACACTCACCCAGCCACTCACCATGCCACTCACCCATCCATGCAACTCACTCACTTAACCACTCACCCAGCCACTCATCCTGACGCTCACCCATCCACGCCACTCACTCACTTAACCACTCACTCAATAACGAAACCACGCACCCAACTACAAATCCATCCACGCAACTCACTCACTTAACCACTCACTCAATAACGAAACCATGCACCCAACTACAAATCCATCCACGCAACTCGCTCACTTAACCACTCACTCAATAACGAAACCACGCACCCAACTACAAATCCATCCACGCAACTCGCTCACTTAACCACTCACTCAATAACGAAACCACGCACCCAACTACAAATCCATCCACGCAACTCGCTCACTTAACCACTCACGCAATAACGAAACCACGCACCCAACTACAAATCCATCCACGCAACTCACTCACTTAACCACTCACTCAATAACGAAACCACGCACCCAACTACAAATCCATCCACGCAACTCACTCACTTAACCACTCACTCAATAACGAAACCACGCACCCAACTACAAATCCATCCACGCAACTCGCTCACTTAACCACTCACTCAATAACGAAACCACGCACCCAACTACAAATCCATCCACGCAACTCACTCACTTAACCACTCACTCAATAACGAAACCACGCACCCAACTACAAATCCATCCACGCAACTCACTCACGTAACCACTCACTCAATAACGAAATCACGCACCCAACTACAAATCCATCCACGCAACTCACTCACTTAACCACTCACTCAATAACGAAACCACGCACCCAACTACAAATCCATCCACGCAACTCGCTCACTTAATCACTCACTCAATAACGAAACCACGCACCCAACTACAAATCCATCCACGCAACTCACTCACTTAACCACTCACTCAATAACGAAACCACGCACCCAACTACAAATCCATCCACGCAACTCCCTCACTTAACCACTCACTCAATAACGAAAACACGCACCCAACTACAAATCCATCCACGCAACTCACTCACTTAACCACTCACTCAATAACGAAACCACGCACCCAACTACAAATCCATCCACGCAACTCACTCACTTAACCACTCACTCAATAACGAAACCACGCACCCAACTACAAATCCATCCACGCAACTCGCTCACTTAACCACTCACTCAATAACGAAACCACGCACCCAACCACCCATGCAAGCAATGTATGAAACGAGCTAGGGAGAAATGATGGAGGAAAGGGATGGAGGGAGGGATAGATGGATAGGAAGAAGGGACAATGATGATGAATGGGAGAGAGGGAGGGAGGGAGGGAGGCGGAGAGGGATGGAGGGAGTGACGACGCAGAGGAGTGATGGAGGGGGGTGACAAAGGGGAGTGAGGGAGGGATGAAAACTTGATGAATGGGAGGGAGGGAGGGGGTGGGTGACTGACGGGAGGGAGGGAGGAGGAGTGAGGGTGGCTGCTGGACGGGAGATCGAGTGGTCGAGCGGTGACTCCTTTTGCTAAAGTGCGACCCCTCCTCTCGGCCCGTTCCGCTGGTGGAGTAGGGGGGGGGGGGCTCCGTGCTCTGCTCCCATTGGCTGAGACAGGGGTTGGGGGTTCGGGGTCTCAATGGGAGGGGGGCGGTGCAAACGAAGTGGGGGTGCAGAGAGAGTCAGTGGGGAGCGGTGGCGCAGTGGTTAGCGCGATGCGCTACGAACCCGGCGACCCAAGTTTGATTGCCCCGCTCACGGCCAACATTAGTGACGATTGATGATGTCTGAATCGGTCACTGGCCTCCCCTAGGTCTACTCGGCCTTGACATGTGTACCTCGTGTGGTGCGTAAAACATGAGCACAGTGGAGACAAAGGCGGCTGGGAGTGGTGCTGTCACCACCCACCCCTCGTGTGACGCGCCGGCGTTCTTTGCCCAAGCAGTCTGTGTGGGCTACACGGGGGATCTTTGCCTTTATGTCGGAGTGTGTAAGTCGGTGTTGTGAGTGTTTGTGTGTGGCCGTGTGTGTAGATGTCTTTGTGCTGAGAATCTGTGTGTCCGTCATTGTGTGTGTGTGACAGAGGAGGAATACACATACGTGTCTCTGTGTGTACTGTGAGTGAGTATGTGAGTGTCTGTGTACTGTGAGTGAGTATGTGAGTGTCTCTGTGTGTACTGTGAGTGAGTATGTGAGTGTCTGTGTGTACTGTGAGTGAGTATGTGAGTGTCTCTGTGTGTACTGTGAGTGAGTATGTGAGTGTCTGTGTGTACTGTGAGAGTCTGTGAGAGTCTGTGTGTACTGTGAGTGGGTATGAGTGAGTCTCTGAGTGTCTGTGTGTGTACTGTGAGTGAGTATGTGAGTGTCTGTGTGTACTGTGAGTGAGTATGTGAGTGTCTCTGTGTGTACTGTGAGTGAGTATGTGAGTGTCTGTGTGTACTGTGAGAGTCTGTGAGAGTCTGTGTGTACTGTGAGTGGGTATGAGTGAGTCTCTGAGTGTCTGTGTGTGTACTGTGAGTATGTGAGTGTCTGTGTGTACTGTGAGTGAGTATGTGAGTGTCTGTGTGTACTGTGAGTGAGTATGTGAGTGTCTGTGTGTACTGTGAGTGGGTATGAGTGAGTCTCTGAGTGTCTCTGTGTGTACTGTGAGTGAGTATGTGAGTGTCTCTGTGTGTACTGTGAGTGAGTATGTGAGTGTCTGTGTGTACTGTGAGAGTCTGTGAGAGTCTGTGTGTACTGTGAGTGGGTATGAGTGAGTCTCTGAGTGTCTGTGTGTGTACTGTGAGTGAGTATGTGAGTGTCTGTGTGTACTGTGAGTGAGTATGTGAGTGTCTCTGTGTGTACTGTGAGTGAGTATGTGAGTGTCTGTGTGTACTGTGAGAGTCTGTGAGAGTCTGTGTGTACTGTGAGTGGGTATGAGTGAGTCTCTGAGTGTCTGTGTGTGTACTGTGAGTGAGTATGTGAGTGTCTGTGTGTACTGTGAGTGAGTATGTGAGTGTCTGTGTGTACTGTGAGTGAGTATGTGAGTGTCTGTGTGTACTGTGAGTGGGTATGAGTGAGTCTCTGAGTGTCTCTGTGTGTACTGTGAGTGAGTATGTGAGTGTCTGTGTGTACTGTGAGTGTCTGTGTGTGTACTGTGAGTGAGTATGTGAGTGAGAGAGAGCGAGATACAGGATACTGAGGACGGAGACTGCGTGTCTCTCTGTGTGTTACTGTGTGAGTCTGTGAGTGTCTGTGTGTGTACTGTGAGTATGTGAGTGTCTGTGTGTTACTGTGAGAGTCTGTGAGTGTCTGTGTGTTACTGTGTGAGTCTGTGAGTGTCTGTGTGTGTACTGTGAGTATGTGAGTGTCTGTGGGTGTACTGTGAGTATGTGAGTGTCTGTGTGTTACTGTGTGAGTCTGTGAGTGTCTGTGCGTGTACTGTGAGTATGTGAGTGTCTGAGCGTGTACTGTGAGTATGTGAGTGTCTGTGCGTGTACTGTGAGTGAGTCTGTGAGTGTCTGTGTGTGTACTGTGAGTGAGTATGTGAGTGTCTGTGTGTTACTGTGAGTGTCTGTGTGTGTGTACTGTGAGTGAGTATGTGAGTGTCTGTGTGTGTGTACTGTGAGTGAGTATGTGAGTGTCTGTGCGTGTACTGTGAGTCTGTGAGTGTCTGTGTGTGTACTGTGAGTATGTGAGTGTCTGTGCGTGTACTGTGAGTCTGTGAGTGTCTGTGTGTTACTGTGAGAGTCTTTGAGTGTCTGTGCGTGTACTGTGAGTCTGTGAGTGTCTGTGTGTGTACTGTGAGTATGTGAGTGTCTGTGTGTGTACTGTGAGTATGTGAGTGTATGTGCGTGCACTGTGAGTATGTGAGTGTCTGTGTGTTACTGTGAGAGTCTGTGAGTGTCTGTGTGTGTACTGTGAGTCTGTGAGTGTCTGTGCGTGCACTGTGAGTATGTGAGTGTCTGTGTGTTACTGTGTGAGTCTGCGAGAGTCTGTGTGTACTGTGAGTATGTGAGTGTCTGTGCGTGCACTGTGAGTATGTGAGTGTCTGTGTGTTACTGTGAGTATGTGAGTGTCTGTGTGTTACTGTGAGAGTCTGTGAGTGTCTGTGTGTGTACTGTGAGTATGTGAGTGTCTGTGTGTTACTGTGAGTATGTGAGTGTCTGTGTGTTACTGTGAGAGTCTGTGAGTGTCTGTGTGTGTACTGTGAGTATGTGAGTGTCTGTGTGTACTGTGAGTATGTGAGTGTCTGTGCGTGTACTGTGAGTCTGTGAGTGTCTGTGTGTTACTGTGAGAGTCTTTGAGTGTCTGTGCGTGTACTGTGAGTATGTGAGTGTCTGTGCGTGTACTGTGAGTATGTGAGTGTCTGTGCGTGTACTGTGAGTATGTGAGTGTCTGTGTGTGTACTGTGAGTATGTGAGTGTATGTGCGTGTACTGTGAGTATGTGAGTGTCTGTGCGTGTACTGTGAGTATGTGAGTGTCTGTGTGTGTACTGTGAGTATGTGAGTGTCTGTGCGTGTACTGTGAGTATGTGAGTGTATGTGCGTGCACTGTGAGTATGTGAGTGTCTGTGTGTGTACTGTGAGTATGTGAGTGTATGTGCGTGCACTGTGAGTATGTGAGTGTATGTGC